CCAAAGCTATGGAATTTTATTCCTAGGACCATTATGAGGCTCCAATGAGTTCATGTGTGTCGGCCACTTAACATAGTGTTGTACGTGATGGTCCAAAGGTTAATGTACCATAAATGTGAGTTGTTGTTGTTGTTGTTGTTATTATTATTATTATTACTTGCCCATGAAGGAACTTCTCCTCAGGCAGAGTAACTTGCTTAAGGTATTGACCAGGATTGGAACCCAGGGGTACCTCTTTCCTTCTAGGCTCATTTTTTTAAATTCTCTAATAGTTTAGTCAGCTCTTTGGAGAGCAATTTCAAGCCTGACTTGGGCAGACACACTGACATGACTCTCAGGAAGAAAAAATACAGGTGTCTCTGGACAGCCTGGGTTGCAGGGAGCCCTGCCCAATGTGGGACTCAATCCTTTTTGTGGCCCCAGCCACTGTGTAACTGACCTGAAATTGTTCTCCCACAATTGCAAACAACACAGACTTCCTGTGATTTGAGAAAGGGGAAGTCCAGCCAGCAATTTACCTTGAGTCATTTGTTTCGAGAAGGAAGCCTGGGCAGTTGGCAGAAGGTAACAGAAGGAGGAGGGTTGCTTGAAGAGAGAAAAGAGGCCTGGATTCTAGAAGGAGTGCCACCATTTCTCAGCAAACTACGCTGAACATGTCCCCTCTCTGGCCTTAATTTTCTCATTTGGAAAATAGAACACTGATCTTCACCTCATCTGCTTCTCAGCATAGTACTAATATCTATGAGAGCCTGTGCGTGAAGAGCTGCAAATACGTAAGCAAATTTAACTGGGAGGGCTTAGAATAGCCTCTAAGTCCAGAAGTTAAAAATACACTGATCTGGATTCAAATCCTACCCCTATTACTTTCTAGCTGGTTGTCCCTGGGCAAGGAATGGAACCTCTCGGAGTCTTGGTTTCTTTTCCTATAAAATGGATCCTTGGTTTCCTCAGTTGTGAAATAATAGCTTATCTCCTAAACTGGTTTTGAGGGTTAACTGAGATATGCACATCAAGGCTAGGAAGAACCTAGGCTCATAGCAAGCTCTCAGGAATGGTGGCTCTTGTTTTTAATCCTCGATGACCTCTCACTTCCTCACCTCTACCCTGTTTTGTCTTGTCCAATCCTGGCTGTGCTCAGGACAAAGCCTCTTCTGAGATTACTCCTAATAGACTTTCTCTCACATCTGTGAGGCCAAAAATAATTGTTAAAATAGAGAATAATTTTATGTATATGTTTACTGATTACAAAAGTAATATGTTCACGGTAGAAAAAAATCAAGCAAAAAAGTGAAAAAATAAAATAGAGATTAAATATAACTTTACCACCCAGAGATAATCACTATTGACAATGGGGGACTTTCCTTCCTGATTTCTCTTTAATGCATGTGTAACAGGATGCTAAATGTAAGTTTAAATGTTTCCTTTTATTTTGGCTTTGGGGCAGAGGCAAAGAATGCCAAGGACCACCCAAGCAGGGCACACCAAAGGATGGAGGAACCAGTTCAACCAGCCTTAACCCATCACCCACCTCTGGTCATCATGTATGCTGCAAGTGTGGCAGAGACAGAGAGGAGAGGCTGGTTGGGAGGGATTGTTGGTTATTATTTGGTCCAAACTTCAACATCCCCTCCACCACAGGAGGAGGGGTGAGGCGTGACTCTTCATTTTAGGGTAGGAGGCTTGAAGGAAACTGGACCAAGGGTAAAGGGAAGTCTAAGGCCCACTCTTCTATTACCCGTACTTCTGCCAGCAGAGAGCTTATCATGCTGAATTGTAAATGTCCATTGAGTTGTCTGACTCCCCAACTTGACCTGGAAACATCTTTGAGACAGTCTGTGCCTTGTAGCCCCTGTCCCTGCAGAAGGCCTAACACTTACTTGATGTTTGATAAATGTTCTGATAAATAAAGGGAAGACTGAAGAAGTTGTGAAATAGAAAGCAGAAAGAACAAGTGTGGGGGTCAAAAAAAAAAGCTTTCCTCCACCTTCTAAGTTCTCATAGCTGGACTAATAATCAAATTATTATCATGAGACACTTTAACAGGAGAAAATGTCCAAAATTTATTACAGATGTACATGCAAGGGTTCTATAAGAATGAGACCCCACATCTGATCTTGTAAGCTAAGCAGGGTCAGGCCTGGTTAGTACTTGGATGGGAGACCACCTAGGAAGACCAGGTGCTGTAGGCTGTAGGGACTGTAAGGTGACAAGGTCCTTGCAATCTGTGAGGTCAACCAAGAGTTGCCTTGCCAGAAAAAAATTAAAAAAAAAAAAAAAAAAAGAATGAGACCCCAGGAGGCACTAGGCAGTTGAGGTTTATATGCCATTTTGGACTAAGGAGAGGGAGGCAGGGGTCTGGGATTTCAAAGGGAGAGTGGGCAATTTACAGGTAGATAGAAAGAGCAAACATATGATAAATAAATTATTGCTGGGCCACCCAGAAACAATGGGACACAGAGGGAAATAGGCTTTGCTAGATTTCTCCCTGTCTGCAACATTTAGTTTATATTATGATGCTAAGGTGATGCTTCCTTCCTTTAAGCAGATTTTTCTATCTGAATTCCTTTAAGTAGGTAAGGGGGAGGGTCAAAGTTTCTTTCTGAGTCTTTGTTTCTTAATATCCAGCTTAAAATCAATATCCTAAAAGGCATATTTGAGGGTGGCAAACTTTGGTCCCTTTCACAAGGATTTTAGAACCACAGAGATCTAAGTTCAAATTTTGCCCTCTACCACTTTCTAGCTGTGTTTGCCTTGGGGAAGTCAAGTCATCATCTCTCTAACCTCATTTTCCTCACTTGTAAAATAAAGATAATTTGGTATCTGTTCTACAGAGTTTTGAATGAAATGAGGTCAAGAACTGGCACATAGTAGGCATTCCAACAATGACCAATGAATAAAGACAGTAGTCTTAAAAACTCTACAAACTGGCTCTGCCTCCTGCGAATTCCCTGTCTAAACTGATACAGTCCTGGACTTTTCAGATCCTGGTTTTCTTCCCTGCTTTCTCCTCAGTCCCCATCATCATCACCATCACCTTCACCATCACTATCACCGTCACCATCATCATCGTCTTTATAGCAGTAACAACAGCTGCTTGTTTATGGCAATTTATAGAAATTCCATGGCCTGGTCCCATTTAAATCTCACAATAATCCTGTATAGTCTACCTTATAATCACCATTTCACAGATAAGGGGACTGAGGCCCAGAGAGGGTGAATGACTGGCCCAAGGGCACGGACTTGCCCAAGAGCACGAAGATCTGAGACTCGAAAGCACTTTGGCCTTCCTTAAAGGAATTGATTTAAGATATGCTTGGCATCCACTGTGAGCCAGACTCTTAAAATTAACAGTATTAAACAATAATTTTAACTTTCATGGTTGAAATTCTTTTTAAAAGAAAGAATTTATTAGGCCACTGCTAGCAAAAGAGATCAGTCTTGGAGCACGAAGTCCAGACCACCAGCAGCATGGCTAGGTAGGAAAGAAAACATGTCTGTAGTTCCAGAGGAACAAGCGTTTTTATATATCAAGTTGGGGGTGGGGGCGAGAAGGATGTAAGCCAGTCTGAAAGAACTTACATTAGCTATAGACACAGGGGATGGGAGAAGGTGAAAAGCGGGGCTGGTTCTGGGATAGATGTAATGCTCTGAGGTAAACAAGAAGCGGAAGCTACTGAGTTAACAGCCCCTGGCTTGTCTCTCTTTTTAGATAATCTCAGAAATAGCCACCTGGAAGTTAATTTAATTCTAACATACACTAAGGAGGGCGAGCAGTCTTTTGTTGTTTTGCACTGCAGTTGTTAACCCATTAACCCCTTTTCGTCTCTTCCTTTCACCCTCTGCCATGCTGTAATTAAATGTAAGATGTCTCAGAATTTTCTCCTTGTCAGTGACATGGCTCCCGTCCCCTTACAGATGAGTGGGAAGGACAGACATACAAGTCAAACAATATCTAAGTGCTATCCATGGAAACTCCAGACAAGATGACAATTTCTTCAGCTGAAGGCAATTGGCTGGAGAGCAGGTCCAGTCCACTGTTTTCTATCTCTGTGGCTTTGGGCAAGTCACTTCGCCTCTCTGGGCATTACAGATGAAGAAAAAAATTTCTTCATCTGTAAATGGGGATTACAATAGCACCTCTCTCATACAATCAACTGTAGGGATAACAGAGATATATGTAGCACAGTGTCTGGCACAAGTAAGCAATTATAGGTGGTTCTTTATTACCATAACCTAGATGCCAGCCTACTGGCCCATTGACCCCTTGAGATCATGGGATGAGCCCAATCACCCATGCCAAAACCCTCTCCAAGATTACTGCAAATTCCTGGGAGGTTTTATTTCTCCTGGTCCAGCTCCTGCTTCAGCCTGTACTGTTTTTGGTCAGCACTATACCAACACAAATGGAAAACTTGGCCCCTTCAGTCATTTTCAGCCTCAGTGAGCATAGATTTTTCTGAAGATTTCCAGGGATGAGAGACAGAGGAGGAGATCACATTAAGGCTACAAAAAACCTCAGGGTAAAAGTACTCTGGTTCCCAATACAACCTCAGCTGGCTCTTCTGTTTCCCTCTACACTGTCCCCAGCCCCTCAGTCTTGGGCCAGCTCCTGTCTCTGCCTGTTTTTGGCTATTGTCTCCACTCTCTCTTCCTAAGGAGCTCTCCCTCTAGGCATTATCACACTTTGTTGGGAATTGGGGGTGTAAGGGTGTTGGCTGCCTCTTCTATATCCCCCTCACAAACCACCCCCATCCCTACCAGCCCCCACAAAGCAAAGCACCACAGGCCCCTCTCAGGCCTTCATGAAGCCCCCACAAGGATGGGAGGAAATGTTTGCTATCATTCATGGTAGTTGATGCTGGTAGGTGGGCTACCCTGGCTGACTTCCTACTGCCCCGCCCCCCATCTCCCCACTCTCTCCACCCGCTCCCATCCTCTGTTCCTGCCCTTTTCCCAAGCCCAGTCCTCCAGTTTCTGGAAGATCCTCCAGTCCTCGGTACCTTAAGAGATCTAAACCAAGTCCTCTTCTTTGCTGCTTCCACAACAGCTGCCTTCTCAGAGCTGCTTCAAGATGCACCTTCACCTTAAACAGTTTTTCAGAGTATTTTCTCAAGGAAAGCTATCTTCTCCCTAAAAAAAGGTCATGCACTGAGGATCTATGAGCCGCATCTGGCCTACAGGGATGTTTTAAAAATCAAATCAACATTTAAAAATTGAGAGGTTACACGTAAAAATCCGGATTTGTGCCTTTTCTCGTGAACTCAAATATCTGGCATGGTAGGACCCACGTCCCGCCCCCCACCCCACAGGAGCATGTTAGCCTAAATGGAGAACAGGGTCCCTGTCCTTTAGACAGGTTTTTCTTATGCCTCTGCCCACTGACCTTATTTATTTCTCCTGCTTGACACCTGTAGGCTTTCAACTCCGTGACCTTTGCTAAGAGGCATTTCAGTGCCAGTTTTCACTCTCCATTGCATTATTATGATAAAGTTGAGTTTATGAATTTGTTGACTTCACAAAGGGCACCCTAGGCAGAAGACACAACAAGAGTAGTCACTGAGTATGCAAGTGATGGCTGTTCCTGGAAGGGCAAGGTGTTCAGAGAAACTAGGTCTCTGGTGCAAGTAGGGGGTGGATCTGGAAAGGGTTAAGCTGGGGCTTGGTTAGGAGCACCTTAATGCTCTCTTATGGAACTCTCTTATGGGGCTGGGGAGCCAGTGTGAGGTTTAAAGCAGGGTGACATAGCATAAGAGAAAAGTAGGTGGGAAGCTTGTGGGCGGGATAGATTGAAATCCTCCCATCTCCCGCTAGCCCTGCAGGAAGCCCAGCGAGAGGCTACGGACAGTGGTCCAAGAGGGCCAGGGATGCTGCGACCAGACGCGTGGCAGCGGCGGTGGAAACAGCTGGGAGAACGACGGCAAGTTTGGAATTCAGAGCCAGCCTTGCCAGGGAGCGGGTTTGCTTGCCCTTGATGCAAAACACTGCGGACGATGCGGCTGCAATTCGCTCCCCTCCTCTCCCTTCCCCTCCCCTCCCCCCAACCCAGCCCCGCGCTGCGGCGGACTGCGGCGGAATCCCGGCCACTAGCGGAGCGCCCTCCTGTGCCGCTGCGGCATGCGAGGGGTAGGGGCGGGAAGGCGGGGGCGTTGTTGGGGATGCCGGTCTTCCCTGGAAGGCCCGAGAGAAGAGGGGAAGCTGGTCATGTGGTGCCGCTACCGGGCGCAACCCGATTGGAGAGTCTCGCGGCAGACTCAGCCTGGGCTGCTCTGGTTTCCAGGCACAGAGCAGCCCCTCCCCTCGTTGGTACGCAGGGTTGGAGTGCGCTGGCCTAGCGCGCGTGGGGGGAAGGGGAGAAGGGAGGAGGCGAGGCGGGGATCGCTCTCTGCAACATGTACCGCTGCCCGCCATGGTCCTACTGCAGCTTGGGAGATCTGATTGTCTCCATGAACACATCCTTTCCCTGCTCCTCTCTTGTCTAACCCAATCTGTCCCTCTTTCTACTGTGCTCCCGGGAGACCAGCTTTATTTGGGCTGGCCGAAGCAGGTTTCTGTTACATGCCACACTTTTGCAGTTTGGGGCAAATCAAATAATCTGGCTGGAAGTGGAAAAGACTAAAGCAGAAATCCCACAGGTAGCTCAAGCCCCGCGCGTCCAAACCGACCATATTACTCTCCAGATTGATCCTTCTTTGTATCTCCATCTCTGCTTTAAGCAGAAACCCAAGAACCATCTCCATCTCACTGTCCTCTATCAATTCTATGACCGAAATCTATTAAATTTACCTCCAAAATATTTCTTAAACCTCAGTACCCGATCTTTTTCCTTGGTGTCTATCCTAATTTGTCACTGTGTTTATTTGTGATGGTTTTTCGTATGGTTTTTCCCCTCTAGACTGTAAGTTCCATGAGAACAGGGACCATGTCTATTTTGCTCATTGCTATATCACCAACACACCACCAGGCACACAGTAGGTGCTTAATAAATGTTAATGCGTAATGAATAGATGTATAGCAAGTCCTGTGCTAGTGATTAGGTGAGGAATGAAACACACAGTTCTGTCCTCAAGAAGTCTCTCCAACAAACATGCCCTGAGCCTTCTCTCGCCTGGGCCCTGTGAGGGGCCAGTGTACAAGATGACCAAGACTCTATTTCTACCTTCCCCCTTCATCTGGAAGGACCGCACATGGCTAATCTAGATAATAAGATTCTTTGGTATTGCACCGGTCAGGTGTGGTGGTACATAACAACCTCTAGAGTCGGAAGAGTATTTGGAATCTGATGATTTGGCTTCCCAGGCCAGCTTTGCCATCTTCTGGCTGGGTGACTACAAGTCTCTCTTTCTGAGGCTCCATCTCCTCCTCTTAAAAATGGAGATAACAATACTATCTCAAATTGCTGAAAGATATGAATGAGATAAATAAAAGTACCGAGTGCCAGGTTTTATGACAGTGTTGGATGTATGCGGGTGACCATACCTTCCAATTTGCCTGGAACAGATTGATTGACACCTTTTTAACCAGAACAGTTAATAATAGCATTCCCTTTCATTCTCAAAAGTGCCCTGGATTTGGACAGTAAATTTTGTGGTCATCCTTGTAATAAGTGTCACACTAAAGTTACCTACATGGCGCCCTGGGAACACAAAGGAGTGTCTGACTGTAGAAAAGGAGGTATTGACCATGGAAATGAGCCAGGAAGTATGCATGGGATTACACCAAGTAGACCACCATTTGCAAAGAATTGGGCTTGATAAATCTATGTTTAGATAACATCAAGAAGCCCAAATGGCTCAGTTCCAAGATACATAGGAGATAAGCCTGGCAGTGGGAACTGTAGAAAGGTTTTGAGTAGGGGTTGATATGAGCTGATGGCCTTCACAAAAGAGACCAATTGAGGAGCTGGGGCCAAAGTCCAGGCAAGAGAGATAATGAAGCCTGAATCAGGGAGAGGTTCTCTGAGCACTTGGGAGGTTCCATAAGGATTTTAGAGGTAAATGGGACATGGATGTGGGGATCATTGGACAGAGGACAGGTCAGAAGCAGGAGGACTTCCAGGTGGATGAGGAGGCATTCGGTGAAGCAGGTGGAAAGGAGGAAGGGCCAGGAAACCCAGGAGACAGGAGGTAACCCAGATTAGACTGACTAGGCTGAGTGCCATTCACCACTCCTGATCTAGAGGAAAAAAGTAGGGGTCACACTAGGTAGAGGTCACTTTCAAGGACAGCAGTAGGAGGCAGGGGTCAAGGATTTCAAAGATAAAGCAGGCAATTTGCAGGTAGATGAGAAAGAGCAAAACGTGTGATCAACAAATTCTTGGCTGCCACCCAGAAACAATGGGACACAGAGGGAAATAGGCTTTGCTAGATTTCTCCCTGTCTGCCGCATTTAGTTTCTATTACAATGCTAAGGTGATACATTAAGCAGTTTTTTTCTGTCTGAATTCCCTTAAGCAGGTAACAAGGAGGGTAGAAATATCTTTTTGAGTCTTTTGTTTCTTAATAACGGGCTTAAAATCAATATCCCAAAAGATATATCTTTGGGTGACAAAACTTTTGTCTCTTTCACAAGTCCATGTTGGGCTACTTTTCCTTGCATCTGGTAGAGTCATAATATAGAACCTTTCTATTCTCTCTTCCCTTGTGCATCCTTTCAAACATTCTCTACTCCTGTCACACTCTACTGTTTACATTTCGTCAGACTAATCCTGTGTTTGTACCCCTATGCCTTTCCTCCAGATTCCCTCAGTTTGTACTGTCTTACAACCTGTCTACTCCTACTCATCCTTTGAGACTCAACTCAAAGGGCTCTCCCTCCGGAAAGCTGTTCCTAACCACTCTGGGCAAGGCTTGCCATGCCCTCCTCTGCCCACCTCACAGCTTTTTGTACATGTCTTCATCACCTAGTATCCCAATGACCTGCTTTCTTGTCTATAATCTCCCTTAAGCTATATTTTTCATCTCCATGCCCCTAGTGCCTGGCAAAGGGTCTAGTACGAATTATAATAAATGTTTACTCAATGAGTGAATAAATGGGTAAGAATTCTTCTCTCGCTCATGCCATCTCTCTGAGTCACTACTCAGTTTCTGTCAAGTGGAGACACAAAAGAAAAATTAGGAGGAACTGCTTTAGTCCCTTGATTCAAGGGTAATGGATTCAGGAGAGGAGAAAGCCCCAGTAGAAATGGGGCCATTGCAAAGTCCAGGGGCATTTATGGGAGGTCAGTTTTCTGCTAAAGCAGTGATGGTGGCAGCTTTGAGCTGAGTAAGAGTTTGTTTGGGAGAAGAAAAATATGGATTCAGCAAGCTAGAACCCTGACAGCTATTTCTGTCACCTGAAGAGGGAGAAGCATCTAAAAGCCATCTGAGTCTGCCTAGAATCAGAGTCCCCATCTCTTTTTGGCACAATCTGACCTGAGTAACAGGGCAGCCATCTCCCCTGCCCTTCATTCCCACAACAGGCACACACCTCCTCAAAGAGAGCTCTTCAATTGATCAGGACATTGGGCACTGAGAACGGAGTCACAAATAGCTATAGGGAACTTGGGCCTACAAGACAAGTTCTGGTCAATAGTCTGTGAGTAGAAGTAACATGTGTCACTTCCACACTTAAGTATTTAACTGCCAGTGCACAACCCTCCAGCTCTCTTTTCCCTACTGAGACGATCCTGAAAGCCTCACAATGAGTGGTGGAACTCAGCATGGAAGTGGTCTGGATCTCTGAGTTACCCAGTGGGGTGAAGCAGAGCTACCCCTGGGAAGTGCTTTGATCCATAGCAGATTTTGCATGAGTGGGAAAATTATACCATTGTTGTATTAAGCCATTGAGATATTTGGGTTGTTTGTTACCACAGCAGAGCCTAGCCTATTCTGACCAGTATGTAGAAATTAATTGTTTTAACCATCCAACATCAGACCTCCTTCCTTAAGGGGAAACATTCCTCTTCCTTATAGGCCTCTTTGATATTGCCAAATCCAGTGGTCACTTCTTTATCTTTCTTGATTTCTTGGCAGCAGTTGTCCCAATCGACCACACACCCTGGAAACATTTTATCTTGGTGTCTATGACAATGTGCCTGCTTGGTTTTTCTCCTATTTCACAGCCCCCTGCTTCTCAGTTTCTTTCGCTGGCTCTTCTACTGTTTCACCTCAAAAGTTCGAAGTTTCTCAGGGTTTATTCCTAGGGACCTTTCTCATGGTTTTAAATACCACCCATGAAAAAGACAGCTGGTTATCTTCCAGTATTCATTCTACCATTCTTTTTTTTTTCTTTCATTTAACATTTTTTTTTTTAATTTGTTTCAGGTATACTACCGTTCTTTATTAATAACATACCCCCTATTTTTAGGGGCACATCATGCCCAGTTAAAAGACTGTATTTCCCAGTATGGCAATGTGACTATGTTTGGCCAATGAGATGTATGTAAAAATGTGCAGGACTTCCCAGGCAGCCTTCCTAAAAGGGAAAAGGTGGACCTTTCTTTTCTTTTTCCTCCCCACTGTATGGAATGTGGATCATAATGAGGTAAACTTAAGATTAGAAACCAAGGGCTGAGGATGGTGGAACAGCCCCAAACTGCCTACCTTTCAACTTATTTTTCATGAATAAAGAAATTTCTATCATATGCCATTTTTTCCTTTTGTTATTTGCAACTAAATTTAATCCGGATACATTCTCATTGCTATTGAAGTCACTTGCTTGCCTCCCACTTGGAAGGCTGTGTCCAGACCCTCCCCCAGTCAGAGGAGTGGGGAACAAGCAAAAGAAAGATACTTCCAGGCCAAAAAATAAAAAATAAATTAAAAAAATAAAAAATGCTAGGCCTCATCCACAAATTGTAAGTAACTAAGCTACCAGGAGGTTAGAGTGGGAAGTGGGCCTAGGAATACAGTTTATTAGGTCACAGAGAGCATTGAATGCTAGGTTAAGAAATCTGTACTTTATTCTGTAAGTCCCTTGCAGATAGAGGGACCCTGTCTGTTTTATCTAGTAATGCCTCCACTTTGTAGTGAATGACTATATACATATTTTTTGAGCTTCAGGTTTATTTTTTAAATCAATTATTTTATGGTGACATTGGTGACTATATTCTTTAATTAATAGTGTTTGCTCAATAAGCAACGATGAAAAAAATGTTGGAAGGTGGACCAGTTGGGAATCACCAAATAATCTACCCTTGTCTGCTTTTTACAGATGAAGTAACTGAAGCATCACTTGCTGGAAGTGGCAGTCTGCCTATCCATCAGAAAAGGCAAACCGAAAACTCCACCTTGGAGATGATGGGGTTGGGGGATGACAGAATTGGGGGAAGAGGCCAAGCAAAACCGTTGGGTTAACGACTCCTCAAGATGGCTGTCGGGGAACCAACCGACTGGGTGAGGCGAGGCTCCGCCTCAGCACGCTCGGCCCCTCCTCGCCCGGCCCCTCCTCGCCCGGCCCCGCCCAGCGCCCAGCCCCCGACCGGGCGGTGCGGGTTGTGAGGTGGCTCAGCAGAGCGCCTGCGCAGTGGGCAGCGGCGCGAGGGGCGGAGGTTTTATAACCGCTTCGTTGATACCGGTCGGTTTCTAGCTCCGGGAGGGCGGCGGCGGCGGCGCCGGCTGAGGGGGCGCTGAGGCGGGA